GCTTGTGTTCTGCTGAAAACCAACTAGTTTTTAGCAGAGGGAACTGTAAATTCAAAATAATGAAGCAAAAACCAAAACTACTAAAACCAAAAAAAAAAAAAAAAAAATCAACCAACCAAACAAAATCACAAAAGCCTAAAGCAAGAAAGGAGAAAGGCTTATTGGAGTAAGGGCCAGTGTGGCTGGCAAAAGGCAAGCCTCCTGCATACAAAACACATGTTTTACTCAGGGCTATACCCCTAGTCTCTCAGTTTATATCTCCTAAAAGGTCACATATCTAGTTCTTCATTTATCATTTCTTTTTTTTAAAAAAAATATTTCACTTTCTAGCTTTTTTGCAAAGTATAGTACATTATTGTTACCTATAGTTACCATACCATGCAGAGCTTCTTGCCATCCACCTGGCTCAGCCTCCTTAACTGTAGCCTTGTGCCCATTACTCAGCCTTTCTCCATCTCCCCTTTCCTCCTCTCTCCTAGAAAAGGTATTTATTTCACACACAATACTTTAAATGTGGGGTTTGACGGGAATCACCAAGTGTGGAAGAAATTTTACTTTGTGTATTTGGAGTTAACATGTCATTAGTCGGGTCTATCCATGCAAATGACCTTGACTCTTGAATTTCTGATTGTGTAGATTTTAAAAAAATCTAGTCTCTTAATTAAAAAAAAGGGGGTCATTTGTCTGTACTTAACATTGCAGCAGGACAAGAGCAGATGTTGACAGTGGTTTCTTAGATTAGGTGACAACAGGCAATAGTTGAGAAAGTTTTAGTCAAGAGCTTCTAGATTTCTTGGTGATTGTCTTTTCTTGGAGGAGATGGGAAGAGATGAATTAATACCTCTGTAGTGCAACTTCTGATTCCTCTGGTCTCTAAGTACCATCTTCAAGTCTAAAGTGGATGTTGCTCTTGTGCTTCTATAGTACCATCTAAATACCTTGCTGAGTTTTAGCTCTAATATGTTATAATTTACTGTAGCTGGTCTGTTAACACAGTTTGCAGTACTGGGGATGGTACCTAGTGCCTTGTGCTTGCTAGGCAAGCAGTCTCTCACTGAGCAATAGAAAGCCCCTGCTTTGTTTTACTTTTAAATTAGAATGCATTTACTAAAAGTAAATGATCAATACACATTTGATAAAGAAAAGCTATCAAATCATAAATCTAGTTGATGATTGGAATATAATATTTCATTTTTAAGTCTGGTGTTTTGGTTGCATATTGTCTTTGGATCAAGCTGTTTATAAGACTTCATAATAACTATCTCCTCCCATCAAAAAAGGCAACAATTTTTTTTTCTTTTTAAACAGCATATGTCTGAAAAAGGTATTGGCATTACTGGAGTCAAACAGAACAATGACATTATTTACACTTCCAGTTAATTAACCTTGAGGGCATTCTTTACCTTCTTTGTGGAATACTTTAAACAGTTATCATGGTAATTATTTCTCCTGGGGCTTATTATTTTATCTTGATTTCAGTAAGCAGGGTTTTGAATGCAGTTAAGTGTTTAAATATGTATACAGATATCTCAGCTTTAGAAAAATCCCAGCTGCACTGTTTAAAAATTCTTTATGACCTTTTATTTTTGGTTATGACTAGTCCCTCTGTGTTATCATTAATTTCTTCTTTTGAAATTAAATTTAACATTTTTTTTCCTATGGTTTGACTTTGGATCAAGTCCATAGCTTTCTTAGCATATCCATTGCCAGAAAACAAACAGAATGTGAAATTGCTGGCATTAATAGTTTTAGTATGGATTTATAGAGAAAAAAAGTATTACTATATAATGATATAACTTACCCCTACCTGGTATTTCATCAATTTAAAAGCATTTGATTTTATATTAATTTAGTTATATTTATTTTTTATTAAACAAGTCTGCTGTATTTTATGGCCTAGTAGAGTAAGGACAACTAAAATTATTTTTGATTTTTTTTTTTTGTAGTGCTAAGAATCAAACTCAGGGTTCTTGTGTATGCTTAGCCACTTAGCTATATCCCTATCCCAAGAATAGTTTTTAGAGAAATATGTGGAATACAAAATTAAAAAAAAATTTTTAAGAAAGATGATTTATATATCTAATCTAATGTGAAAATTATAGTTATTATTAGTCCAAATATATTATTAGTGTCATTTTTATCATGTCACATGAAAGCTAAATACTGTGTTAGTTTTCTGTCACTGTGACCAAAATACCTCACAAAAAAAATTTAGAGGAGGAAAAATTTGTTTTGGCTCATGGTTTCAGAGGTTTAGTCCATGGTTGGCTGATTCCATTGCTCTGGGCCCAAGCTGAGGCAGAACATCATGGAGGAAGGGTATAGTGAAGCAAAACTACTCACCTCATGTCTACTAGGAAGCAGAGAAAGGGGAAGAGGTTGCAGGGAATATGAACCCATCCAGGGCACACTCTCAGGGACCCATCTTCTTCATGTCCCATCTGACTACAGTTACCACCCAGTCAGTCTATTCACATTAGAATGGACTGATTAGATCATAGCTATCATAATCTAATCATTTCACATCTGAATATTCCTATATTAACACAAACTTTGGGGGATATGTCATATCCAAACCATAATATATACTATCAATATAATTTTTCACAGTTTATCTTAACTTGATTACTTGACTGAGGTGGTGTTTGTCAGATTTCTCTACCATAAAGTTGCTCTTTGTTTCCATTTTCCATACTAAAGTCTTTGGAAGCCATCACTATGTACATTTAAGGAGTGAGGAGTTATGCTTCTCTTTATTTATTTTGTAGTGTGAATTATTCAACTTTTGTCACTGGAATCTCTTTCACTTGGCTTCTGTGTCTCTTTGACATAGCTCTGCAGATGTGTGTGTGTTTTAAAGCACTTTTACTATCTGCTGTTACTACTAGTACTAGGGAGTTTCTCCTTACAGCCCTTCTGACACCAAATGTGTGGGTTCTGCAATTCTCTATGTCTCTGTGGACATCACTGAGTATTTATCTGTCTAATCTATTTTTTTTTTAGTTGTAAATGGACACAATACCTTTGTTTATTTATTTTTATGTGGTACTGAGTGAGGCTTGAACCCAGTGTCTCATACTTGCTAGGCAAGCACTCTACCGCTGAGCCACAACCCCAGCCCCTGAGTATCTATATTTTTAACTCAATTCTGACACTAAGTGCTGAAGAGTTAGTACAGTCCCTAGAGGTTAAGGGCTCAATGTCATAAGACTCCCTTCTGCCCAAAGTATGCCAAATGCTAAAAACATAGACACTTCTGTTTGACTTGGCTACAAATTGGGCTTTTCCACAACCCCTTTTTTATTTTGATGATCTGGTATAATCGGTCACAGAACTTAAAACCACTATTTACCAGTTTATTATAACAGACATTAAGGATATAAATGAACAAACAAATGAAGAGATCTATAGGTTGAAGTCTGGAAAGACTGGAGCTTCTGTGACCATGTAGTTGGAGTATACCACCCTCTGGGTGTGTGGATGTTTACCAACCCAGAATCTCTCTGAACCTCATCTTTAGGGTTTTTGTGGTGTTTCCACTATTTAAGCATGATAGATTAAATCACTTGCCATTGTGATTAACTCAATTCCCAGCTCCTCTTCTCTCCTTGGAAATTAGAGGTTGAGTCTGAATTTTTAGTAGACAATTTCTTTTTTAGCATTAGTCTTCCTGATTATTATTCTGATTACTTTGTTTACCATGAACCAACTTTGTGCTAATCCCTTTATATACATTATTTCATTCAATCTTTATTATAACCATATGAGATATTATTTTACAGATGAATAGGCTAGTAGGAGGCAGGGCCTGTGTGATTAAATACATAGTTAGTAATAGACAGGGTTTGTTTGTTTACCATTTTACTATTATGTGCTATTTTAAACTTTTATGTTAATAAATCAGTTTTTGGAAAGTCATGTAAAGATCTTGATATTTATTTAAAATCAGTAAACAAAATATCCATGAACTATATTTGTTTTCTTGACATTCAATATAAATCAAGTTAGTTTCATGTACTTTAAATCTTTTAGAAAAAAAAAGTTTTCATAGTGCATAATGTAAAGGAAGTTGTTAAAATTGACTTGCTGGATTGATTAAATCAAGGAAAAATCAGTTGGTTTGTAGAAGGCCTTTAACATTTTATGACTGTGTTTTAAACCACACTAAAAAAGCATAGATAGGAATAGCTGACAGGGAGCTGAAAATGGTAATAAGCTTTCTTTTAAACTATAAAACACAGTTGACAGACATCTTTTTATAGACATATCTGTGATTGCATACTGTTTTTAGACTTGATGATTTTTTTTTCAGAAAGAAAAATCTTCAAATTTATAAAAACTGTTTACAGTAAAAGAGAAAAGTATGATAAGACAGGAACCCACCCTGCTCATTTTAAAACTAAGTTAGATCACATTTCCTTTAGTGTGTGGACAATATCACCAGAATACAATTAAGTATATGTTTAGTGAGTAAGAAATTTTTTGCTTTGTTTTGCTTTTGTTTGTTTTTTTGGTAGTGGGGATTGAACCCAGGGGCACTTTATCAATGAGTACATCCCCAGTCCTTGTTTGTTTTTTGAGACAGGGTCTCACTAAGTTGTTGAAGGTCTTGCTAAATTGCTGGGAATGGCCTTGAATTTGGGATCCTCCTGCCTCAGCCTCATGAGTCACTGAGATTACAGGTGTGTACCACCATGACTGGCTGAGTAAAGGTTTTTATTTTAATTTCAAAATAATTTTCAAACCTTAAATTCTTTATAAAATTGTGAAAGTGACAGATGAGAGAGGGAAGAGAAAGGAATTGAGCAAATTTGTTAAGCAATCAGGATTTCAGAAGCAAAGGTATGTTTCTAATGTGACTTTACTCACTTTTTTTGGGGGGGCGGGTACTGGGGCGTTTAACCCATGAACCACACCCCCAGTCCTTTTTAATATTTTATTTATGACAGGGTCTCATTGAGTTGCTTAGGGCCTTGCTAAATTGCTGAGGCTGGCTTTGAACTCGGGATCCTCCTGCCTCAGCCTCCCCAGATGCCGGGATTACAGGTATGTGCCACCACACCTGGCTTTACTCACCTTCTTTAGGCTCTGCCTTATTCAAAGGCTTGTACTTCCTGACATCAAAACCTCTCCCATGGGGCTGGAGTTGTGGCTCAGTGGTAAAGCGTTTGCCTAGCATACATGAGGCACTGGGTTTGATTCTCAGCACCATATACAAATATTAAAAAATAAAGATCCATCAACAATTAAAAAATATCTAAAAAAAAAACCTCTCCCATATTTTTAGGCATTTGATATAGCAGCATCCCACTTTCAGATACCAAAATTCTGTATTAGTTTACTGTTATTTTTTAGTTTTTTTGTTTTGTGATAACAAAATTACCATAAAAATTTAGCGACTTTTACAACAAATATTGGGTTGGGAATATAGTTCAGTGATATAGTGCTTGCACAACATGTGGGTCCCTGAGCTTGATACCCAGCACTGCAATCAATCAATCAATCAATCAGTCAATACTTGCATGAGGCCCTGGGTTTAAAAAAAATTTTTTTTCCTTAGGGTTTTTGTTTGCTTTTTAACTACATTTTTATTTGGTGTTGAGAGTCTTGCTAAGTTGCTGAACTGGCCTGGAACTTGGGATTTTCTTGCCTCAGCCTCCTTGACTTCCTCTAGTTAGCAGCTGCTTGACCTCTACCTCTTGTCAATTCCTTTTTTATATTCCCTTCTCTATATACCTCTGACTATTTTTTTTTAACCTCTGTTTTTGCATCCTCCTTCTAATTGATGACTTTCCTCTCAGCACTTTTTTGTGGAGTTCTTAAGGAGTCTGAGACTTTTTTCTAATGTAAATAAACTTCTTTACAAATATTCTTTTTATAGAATACCCCTCTAATTTCCTTATTTTTACTTAATCCTGTTTTTCTTTACAGAATATCACTTTTGGTGTGTGTTGGGGGATCTTGAATAAAAGCTTTTCATTCTCCCATGTCTTTTTGTTTTCAAGTCAGTAAGTTTAATCTGCCTATTTCCAATTCTAAATTATTGCTCTTTACCTTCACATAAAAATTCTTCCTTTGAAATTTTACCATCTCAATCACCTATCCTTTGTCACTTTGTTGTCTTTTAGTCTCCCTCTAGTTTACTCCTTGTTGGTCAGACTTTGTCACTTCTGTATAAATTTTCTGTTCTTCCCAAATTCAGTCATCCTTCTGGGTGACTTCGGTAATCATGTAGACCACTATCTAATGCACTAGTTTCATGATCCTTAATTTTTTTTAACTCCACTGCCTTTCATTTTCACTCCTTTACAGCATCCTACTTTTACAATTAATCTCTGTGAGACATTTTGAAATCTTTACTCCTTTGTTCTAGGAGGGTGCTAATCTCTTAGATTCCAAGGGATGTTTTGCTCTTCTACATATTTAATACTTGTATTAGATCTTATAAAGACTAATCCTAGTTTCCTTGATCTCAGTTTACCAAACAAAATTGATTCTGACTAATGTAGAAGAAAAAATAATTTATTAAAAGATAAAGGGGTGCTCATAAAATCAACAGGAAGTAGAACCACCTTGGACAAGACCAAAGGAGACCTGACAGCATGTACCACATCTGATGGCATGCTACAGGGACAACCTGGTTCATGTGCCACTGCTGGAACCACTGCCCCTGGACCACTGCAGCTAAATGCTGGTTGTTATTGTCTCTGCCATACCCATATATAAATTACAAATGTCCATATATTTTGATTACCTTCTTAAGATTGGAAGTCCTGGGCTGGGGATGTGGCTCAAGCGGTAGCACGCTCGCCTGGCATGCGTGCTGCGCTGGGTTCGATCATATTGCACCACATACAAATAAAGATGTTGTGTTTGCCGAAAACTAAAAAATATTAAATTCTCTCTCTTTCTCTCTCTCTCTCTCTCTTAAAAAAAAATCCTTCCTTTAAAACAATATTTACTGTAGACAAAATATTGGAAGTCCTACACAAGAACATATTAGTAGGGGAAAGATATACAAATAACTGATAGCAGTGCAATATTTAATCACATGCATAATTATTTGTGTAATTTGTTTAATATCTGATTTTCCATTAGAATGTCAGCACATGTCTGTTTTATTCTCCACTGTGACTTCATTGTCTAGCCCATAATTGTTACTTAATAAATATTATTGAATTAATGAATCCTAGAGAATGGGTACTTGATTCTGTCTAGAGAAGGAAGATTGGGGTATGTGATGGTGGAAATCTGGAAGAGACTGTAGGAGTAGAAACGTAAGGGTTTGAAAGGCAGCAAGGGGGTGGGGAGTAAGAGGGGAGAGTACCAGGCAGAGAAGAGCATGAATTAAGTTTGGGAATGGGGAGGAGATGGAGATGCTTTAAAGTATTAGGTGTCAGTTATTAACAGTTAACATTTTTATTGAGTATTTATGCACTTATGTACTTATGTTAAGTACTTTATCTGTATTTTCTCATTTTTTAAATTATTATTTTTTTGTGGTGCTGGGGATTGAACTCAGGGCTGCGTGCATACTAGACAAGCACTCTACCACTGAACTACAGTGCCATTTTAGAAAAGAAAAACCTTAGGCTGGGGTGTAGCTCAGTGGCAGAGTATTGCCTAGCATTTGTGAGGCCTCTGGGCTTGATCCCCATAACACACATACAAACATAAAAGGAAAATCTCTACATAATAAATAATAATGAATAAATAATTTGCCTACGACCACTTAACTCATAAAGGGTATACCAGAGATTGTTTTGGAGTCTTTCTGGATACAAATCCTGGTGCTCTTTATAAATACCATTTTATATTAATGTAGTGTTTTCTAAGTTGGCCCCTAATTAGAATCCTATGAGGAACTTTGTAAAAATAAAGATTCCTGGTCCTATCCCAGACCTTCCAAATCAGAATTTCCAAAGGCAGATCATCTAGATACCTATTTTAAACAAGTCCTTGAGTGTTTCTCATATAACTGATCTGGTTTGGGTTACCTCACCCTTGAGAATTGCTATGTGTGGTGTTGAGAGCAAGGCAGAATAGCTGACTAGCCAGGGAGGTTTTCTTCTGTGTTGTTAAGGTTCTTTGACTTTTTATCCTGTGGATGATAAGGAATGTAATCAAATACTCATTTTAGGCACACCACTTTGGCAGCAATGTGAAGGAAGTCAGGGTACAAGATGGTGGGCAAAGGAACTTACATCTTTTTATTTTTATTTTTTTTTAGTTGTTGATAGACCTTTATTTTATTTATTTATATGGGGTGCTGGGAATCAAACCCAGTGACTCACTCACGCCAAGCTAGTGCGCTACTGCTGAGTCCCAGCCCCAGCCCTAGGAACTTACTTACATCTTCAGATTGCTGTTTTCACTAATTTTTTTTTCTTTTTTCTCACAAACATTCTCAAATCTTTTTTCTTGGTCCTATCGATCTCTCAACTGTGTGGGTTTCTTTTTTCTTACCTAATATCTTGAGAGAAACAGTTAAAAGTCAATGCCAGGTTTTAATCAGTTTAATAAAGATTATTTCTGATTTTCTTCACTGCTTCTCCCTTACAATTTAGCTTTCCACTACATTATATTGTTTTCCCTAATGTCATCTTCATGCAATAAATATTTATTGAAAGTTGTGAGCAAAGTTCTTTCTTAGATTTAGGTTTGAAATGAAAATACCTTGGTCATTTATTTTTTCATCATTTAATCTTCATATAACAGATTTAAGCAAAAAGTAGTTTTCATGTATCTGCTCAGGGCTAGGGTCTGTAGATTCAGCAGTTCTGAGAACACATGAAGCATATGACTTTACTGATCTTATGGTCAATTACAATGTTATGGGAAATACAAGTGCAGTGCGGATATATTCATGTATGAATCTCCTAACTATCTCTGCCTCCTTCCTTGCCCCCTTCCCTCCGTTTGAGTTAACCTTCATAGGAAGAATAATTTTGATCTTGAGCTGATCTCTATTGCCCTGAGATAAAAATTCAAACTCCTTTAAAGTGTTTTATTAAAAAACTTAAAGACTGTTCCTGAATGTTGCTTGAATTCTCTCTTCCAGCTACATGTCATTATAGGGAAGTAAAGGAGCAAAAACTTGAACTTTTCCTCATGATTTTAGTTTTTTTTTTTTCTGAAACCACATTGTATTGTAGTACAGTTTTGCTTTTTAATATTTTGAATTATTTTGGGGGAAGAGAAAAAAATTGTCTAAGTTAATATAAAGGCTAATTGTTCTAAAAAGCTTACCCAAGAATTAAGAATCTAATTTTTATGCAATAATTGAAAACTTCCTACTTGTTAGTACTCTTTAAAAATGCTACTAAGATTGTTATTTTATTAGAATAGATAAGCTCTCAGTCAGTACGCAGTATACCTAAAAATATACAAGGCAATCGGAAATCAAACATATATTGCAGTGGTTTTGTTATAAAAATGTTCCAGTTAGCTAGTAGTTTTGGTATTTTTTTTACCATCTGACCATCTTGTAAAAGTACTTATTAGCAAGAAAATTGATTATATCTGGTCAAACATACAAATTATGGCTTTACTTATATTTGTATTGACATGACTAATGTAGAGTTAAATTTGAATAAGACTTTGTGACTTGGGAAGGGGAACTTAGTGTGAGAAGGGGAACTTTGAATAGGTTTTTAAATTTTTGAAATTTTGTTTTATGGGCTGGAGTTGTAGCTCAGTGGTAGAGCACTTGCCTAGCACATGTGAGGTACTAGGTTTGATCCTCAGCACCACATTAAAAAAAATAAGTAAAATAAAGATATTGTGTCCATCTACAACTAAATCTTTTTTTAATTTAAATTTTATGTTAATTAATTAATTAATTGATTGATTTTGTGGTGCTGGGGATTGAACCCAGAGCCTTGTACATATTAGACAAGCAGGCAAGTGCTCTACCACTGAACTACATCCCCAGAATTTAAAAGAAAAATTATTTTGATGGGAGGGGAGGGGAGGGGAAGGGGGAATAGGAAGGGCAGCAGAATACAACAGACACTAGTATTGCTGCATGTATAAACGTGGCTGTA